TAAAGCGGCGCGATAAGGGTTGAACCGGCGACGTGGTGGACAGACGGAGAGACGAAGAGACCAGAGCGCGCTGTTCGCGCGAGTGGGCCGTAGCTCCGTAGCATAGTGTAGCACTAGACGGGGGCTGCGTCGCCCGCGAGGGGGCCGTAGTCCCCCGGCTGGGCGGCAGGAGTATGACGGAGCGTGCGTATACTTGTAGTATACCCGTGTGGGAGTCGAACCCACAAGTGCAAGGGATGCACCCAGCCGTGCGGGCGTGTCGTCGGACGGCTAGAGAGCCGTGCAACGCTGGCATTTAACGCCATCCAGTGGCGAGGCAGACGAACTGTTTTACGTGTCAGGTGGTGTTGGCTGCGGAGGTCCAACGCTCCTCTAGGTTTCTGGCGTGTTTGTACTCGGTCGTATAGCGTTCACGTGTTTCGGTTGCACGGCGATCCAGGAGGCGGAGTTCGGCCGCAAGGTCGGGGTCCAGCTTGGTTGCTGCCATGAACTGTTTGACGACTCGTGTTCGTTCATCGGGTGTGGTAGAGAGCGGGCGCAGGAGGCGGATGTGGTCGAGTGTCTTGTAGCGGGTGAGCAACACGTACATGGTTGCACGCTTGAGGCCACCGGGCGGGACGGAAAGGTCTGCGACCCAGCATTCTTCCTTGAAGCTACGGCCCTGTACGAAGTAGTCGGTGACGGCGTAGTAGTCACCAAGCGGTACATTGACTCGACGTACATTTTTGGTGGTGGTGCCGGTGTTGGCGGCTGGCACGGTGATGTTTGCTGCCGGCGAGGGCCGTGGTACGATGGCGAAGGCAGCACCTTTGGCTGCGAAGTCCGATAAGTCTGCTAGCACCGCTTTGGGCGCGTGCCCTTTAATGGGACGGACCAAGACGGCTGCGGGTAGGTAGTGGAGGCGCCAGTACGGGCCGCGGCCATCGTCAGGCGGTTCACGGCTGTCGGTAAGCAGGCCACACGCCTCGACTTCATTGTTGTGGCACGCGCCGGCGTCGGCAGCTGTGGTGTCGAGTAGGGTGTAGCGTGCACCCTCGTAGTACCAAGTGTCGGCGGTGGTGTGGTCGAAGGTGGCGTCTTTTACTCGCATTGCGACAGCCTTTTCGACGTGTGAGAGCGCCTGTTGTTGGGTTGCGGCATGTTGCCTAACCGGGACGTGGTCCGCATTCCAGCTGACCAAACGCGCTCCTTTGCGGCGCGCCTGGAGCATCAGGAGGCGTGTGTTGAGCGCGTGCCTGGGTTCGTTCCGTTGCAGCACGACGCGGGGTTCGAGGTCTGTGAGATCGGACAAATCTGTGATGACGCGTTGGTTGAGTGCGTCTACTAGATCTGCGACACGTGCTTCAGTGGTTGGAATGCCGCCGAACATGGTTGCGAAGCGGGTAAGCTGCTGGCCAGATGGGCTGTTGTCTTGCCGCTGCTGTTTCTGCAGCATGAATACGGTGCCGCCGAGCTGACGGTACAGGTTGAAGCCGTCGTGTAGGCGGGTGTGCGTCTGTGGCACGGGGCGATGAGTGCGACGTGTGGAGGTGGTGGCGCGATGGTTGCCGGTGTCGTCGTCTGCGTCAGTGTTGTCATTGTTGCTGTCATCATGACGGTGACCTCGACCTTCGTCAAGCGAAGCTGGTGTGCGTTGTGCTGTCGGTGCCGAGGGAGTGAACTGGGGGTTTCGCTCAACGTCGGCGGCGTAGCGGTACGGTGGTGAACCGCCTGGCTGAGGGTGCTGTAGCAGGTCACCGATTCCGCCCGCGGCACGGCCGGATAAGACGCGGCTGCTGTCATGGGCGGGCCCAAGGTGTGGCGGAGGCGGCAGACTGGCTGTGCAGGAGTGGCTGATGGCGCCGAGGTGCTCGTGGCTTTGCATGCCAATTTCGTCGATGAGCACAGCGCCATCGCCGACGTTGCGTTTTACTTGAAGGCCAGCATGTGCGCCGCGCTTAGGAAAGTTGGTGCCACGGGAGCCGCTTTGGCTGGCTGAGATGCCGAACATGGAGTGGGTAGATAGGCTGCGATGGACTGGGGTGTTGAACGCGATCGCGGCGGCCCAAGAGTATGCGCACGTGGCGGCCCAGTCAGGACTGTCATGTTGGTACGTGTACCACAGCAGTGCGTGTACGAACTGAGTCTTGCCTGTGCCCGGAGGACCCATGACGAGCATTTGCGGTGGGACACCTGGATCGGGTTGGTTGCGGCGGTCGAAGTAGCGTGCCATGAGCATGAATGGCACGGCCTGATCCGGCGCCA